AAGGATTTCTTCGAAAATAGAGATCTCCTGTGTCCCTTCGAATCGTTCCTCTATGACTGCTGAGGACACTTCTCTTTGTACAATCTTCGAGAGGCACAAGGAAAAATCGAGAAGAGATGCGACGCTATTCCGAGTTCACGAAAATGACATCGTTCGGCCTACAATAGCGACTTGAAGACAATACGCCGGCCTGATGTTAAAAACCATCTCATGATACGTTTGCTGTACGACGTTGTGGTGACCTTACCCTTCGAGAAAAGCTTAACGAACGTTCATATTTGAGCTCTTTCATCAACGATGTCTGATTAGTCTGAGGAGAAGGCCTCTAGAAAGGCTTCATCTATCTCATGATACATTCTGGCACTGTTCCTGAGTATTGGAGAGCGGTTAATGAAGGAGAGGGGGAAGGGAAAAAAATTGGGCATTTATTTGATGCATAGTCTCGCAAATTGGATTATGTTCCGGTCTCCTCTCAATATAAAAGTGAGTCACTCAGGGGTCTTCGTCGGTTTGAACGAATTTGAGGCATCTTTAATTCTCTTATATATATCCTAAATTAATGAAAACTTTTCAAGCATATATGACCCTCCTTCTACAATACAACGCTTACCTTTGCTCGTACATGGATATCTTCGCTCGAATACGTGATGACCGCAAATGTATCCAGATTCCAACAGATTCCAACGCCTGGTCTCGGCTAATGCCAGTGAGTGGCCGTGATACGTTATCCTCCGGTCTTCTGACTCATCAATTTGCCGTTACAAAACAGAGCTAATAAAACATCTTGAGCCAATCTTGGTTCTAGATACATAGTTGTCTTCACGTTCCGGAAACTCAATCTCTTATTTTCAGGCAGTTTTAGATTGAAGCCTATGGAAATACCAGACGTGATCGATAGCACAGAAACGTCATGTTTCAATGCTCTTTTTGCCCCTCGCTCCGACTTGCCACGGCTTCGCAGGTATGTTTGACGCTTTTGCTACATCATGCTGGATCTGTTATGGAAAGACATGACATCGCTCAGGACTCTTGTAGTATTAGGCCTACTTACCTGTGGACGCTGTGGTCGATATCCAATGGCTTCGGGTCAATTGAAAGCCCAGGCTTTGTGATGTAGCTCACGAGACACAAAACTGTCCAGACATTCACCCGAGATCTGCAGGATTCGGACTGATATCTCAACCATTGCACTGAAAAGATTTAGAGAGGATTGCGATCAACCAAATTAAATTATGCGTCAGTTGGTCGCGACACTGTTTCCTCTCTACAGCGCTGTCTTCGAAGTAAACCACTCATTCCGAGGCTACAGTCAGTTGAGTTTGCATCCCGAGTTCTCAGACGTGTCCCTTCTCCTGTGTGTGACCCTCGTAGATATCGGGTTGGACCTGAGTTAGGTGAATATTTTTGAAATAACACAAGCCGATCTCCCAGTCTTCACGGATATCTCACGCTTTTGTTTCAAGATTGAATTCCTTGTCATTTATCTTGCCATCAGCATTGACACTATTTCAGCCGAAAAGCTCGAGAAGATGTTGATGCAGTTGTCCTGTCTCCAGTGTCCGGATTGCGTTTGGGATACGTCGATCAACGGTCGCGAAACATCTTGGCACTCTTTCATCCTTCTCTTGTCCACCGGCCGCGTAGTTCCCGATACCTCAACAACAAACTACATTCACAACAAAGGTAGGTCGGTTTCAGAGCTTTCGGTGTGGAAGCGCTGCTCGACTCCTGATAGAGTAGTTCAGGACGGTTGACGTCTTGGCCCCGATCCTTCCCTGTTCTAATCCACAAGTCGACCTCCCTCATTTCTTATTGTCTACCTGTATGCCCCAATCCCCTACCACATCGAAAATCTCTGTGTCCATACATGGTCAGATTCAAACAAAGTTTTACAGGATAACCAATATAGATTCGTGGAATTGAAGATTGACAGTTGAAATACCACAGAAGACAACACTTCCAAGTTTTTCTAAAACCATCTCACAACATGCGTGCGGCACAACCTTGACCTGCCTGAACCTTTCGGATGACCCGAAGACCTCGTAGCTGGACCACCTAGACCCCTCTCTTTCAACTCAGCGCTCCCGAAGACCTGGATCTCGATTGTTTCGGAAGTCAAATATATCATGATGCATAAGCGGCGACCACTTGGCCACCATGCAGTAGAGTGATCACGACTTTGTATGGGGTTATCGAAGGCGATGTACTTGCCGTGCTTCGTTGTCTTTTTCCATTGTTCTCTCACCTTCAACGGTGAAGGACGGTGGAATGAGGAACAGGAATGAAAGTGGGGAAAGCTGCTGAAATATTCGAGACGCAGCCTTGATCAATAAAATTCTATCCAGCGGATTGACAGTTGTGAATTCTTACTGCAACACTTCTCAGGCGTTTCAAGACTTATTCAATTCCATTTCTATAATTGCTCATCGTCCATTATCACGATACTTCTTACAACTCGCTATTCCAACATTTTATATAGGATGGATCTTTACATGGTAAATTTTTAATCGAAACAAAATTATCAGTATCCGACGGTGGTCCGGTGAGATATGGAAGCAACTATGACATCGAGAGATAAGAAGATAGTGCATACACGACTCGAGTCCAAGAATCATGCAACATATTTCAGTTAATCTTCCCCATCAAGCGCCGTCCTTCTTCCACCTTCGCCTCGTTATTTGACAACTTCCCCGATATCACTTTCATCTCGCCTCTAAGCTTATTTAAGAAGCTTGCGCGCGACGCCTTGTTCGACCCATTCGCCGGTGACATAGAGTTCGTCTGAGCCCCGTTAGAAGCGATGCCCTTTGGCGTATATCCCTCCGAGACTGGCCGCTGACTCTTCTGGCGATTCTCGGCAGGCTTGTCGAAGACAACGCTCATCGTTCTCAACCGCGGTGTTTCCGTGCCGTCGTTCGATGATACGTGATTGTTCGACCCTTGTACCGCCTGCCTGACCTCTTGAGTCGTTTCTTTCTCGGATGCGGGCTTCGTGGCCAAGATGTGACCCTTTCCAGGACTGAGATTGAGCTGGCGATCCGACTTGTCATCCAGAGCCTTCTGATACTGCTCTTTCAGCAGAATTCCTAATTTGGCGTCGGAGCCGGCAAGAGGGTGAGTGGATGCTTGAGTGTTGACATCTGGCTGTTGGTATAGATGCGCTCAGGTTATCAAGACCGAAGGCAGAATGAAAGACATTTCTCACCTGGGACTCCTCGACGTCTGCTTTTGTATCGACAACCTTATGAACCTCCTCTGACTTTGGGGACAGCGATGAGGGGCCAATGACAACGTCATTCGGACGTGAAACTTTCGCAGCGTGCCGATTGCTGCCAGAGGCTATTGGGCCAAGAAATGACGGATATGAGCTTCCAACCGGGATATCGAGCAAAGCACCGTGCTGCCTTGTGGTATCATCTTCAGAGTTTAATTGACGCAGTCCCACCGCCCGATCATTTCCAGAGTCTGAATAATCTGCGGCAACTTTATCCACGTGTGCATTCGCCGACTCACCCGTATGATCGTGCTTCGGCTCTTCGGTTTCAGAACCGTGATGAGTCGTATCCGCAGTCTCGGAGCTAGATAGCAACACCCCATTCATCGGCATAGTGAGGCTCAACTGCGAACTATATCGACTTGGGCTCGACGTCAGCGATCCATTGATTGTTCTTATGCTGGTGTCAGAAAGAACGCTAGATCTGTGTTCCGCATCCGGGTTGGTATGGGGGGTTAGATAAGATGTATCAATCGCTTTCTCGTTGTAGAGAGACGGATCTATCAAGTTGATCAGAATCGACAGATGAAATTTGTGCTATTCGCTCTACCTAAGCTGAACTGGGCATGAGCTGAGAGACGATCTGGAAGAGCTTCACTGCTGTTGAATGAATCGGAGTATCGTGCTTGTTAAAACGTCAGTGACGATGTGTCTATTTCATAGGAAATACATACTAATCTCTGAGGGATGTCTGTGCATCGGATCCGCATCCTGTATGTTCCCGTGTTCTGGCTGAGAATCAACTTTGGTTATGATAGGTTTCCTCTCTATCGAAGATGCTGAATGAAGAATTAGCGTGTGGTGCCCTAAAACAGAAAACTCCTGACTCACATAAATAGGAACCCCAAGTGCCGGGCAGATAATACCTGGCCGCCGCTCCTGCACCCATCACAGCGTCCATGACATTCTTCTGCGTACGAACATATCCCTGATGAAATGCGATGCCTTTGGAATAATCGACTTCGCTTTCAAATGGATATGCACCCGGTATACGTGGCGTAGATGTCGCTGAAGGAGGTAAGACGAGAGAGTTGAAATCCACGGAATGTCTAATGGATGTGACCGTCTTTTCGGCCCATTCTTCGGCTGGAGTGGGGAGTATATCATCCCCAATCTTTGGTGCAAGAGACGCTGGACGTGCGGCGGGGCTGAACAACATGGCAGTAGTAAGAAATAGAAATGTGAGACTCAGTATTTGTTCCGTTCGAAATTTAAACAAGTTCAAAACGTCACATTCGATCTGATCATGATGATGTCATCTCAGGTAATCTAGAGGCGACCGCGACCGAAAAGACATTAGTGGAGGAGATGTCTACTAGGAGTATGAACAAAGCTTGCCTTAGTCAATAGACCATTTATGGAGATTCTATGGAGATTAACGAACTGTCAATATCACCTCACACAGTGCATTAAATACACAACAAATCGTTGAACAGATATCGATATCTTGATAA